AAAAAAAAAAAAAGGGCCGCACCTTGCTTGTGTGGCTTAATGATCAATTGCAGTTCCCTGTGCGTGTGTGTGTGTGTGTATGGTGTGAAGTCCCTCGACTGCGCAAGACAAAGTATTGTTTGACACACTGTAGAAAAAACTCACTGGTGCTGTGGAGGACTTATTGTGTTGTTGTCGGCGGTGAATCCGCGATTTCAGAGGTTCAGGCTTGAGGTGTTCGCAAGCTCTACGTACAAACCGGTTGCTGACGGTGACAGAAGAGTGCCTCTTGCTTTTCTCACCCCACAGTTTTTGGCCTTTGGCCTCACCTGGTTTGGTGGCAGCATCAGGGCCTCCATTCTGGAAGGTGCTGCCTGCATTGCGGATGTGCTTTCCTCTACATGTGTTTGCGCGTTTTTTTTTTTTTTGTTGTCTTCGTTGGACTTGCTGTTTTGGTCGTGCACATTCCCTCCGTTCGGCTGGTTGCCTTCTTCCACGCGGATGCCCCCCCCCCAACGCATCTTTCCGTTTTATTTTTGTTTGTTTTTGGCCTTTGCTGTCTCTGAGGTAGAGATATGCCTCTCATCACTGTTCTTGACCTGCAGTTGTCTAGCCGCTTTTTGTGGTGTAGTTTCGACCCCTTCTTCCTCTGTGTTGTGTGGCTGACCACGCTTCCGTTGATTTGAATCATGCCTGAATGGCTTCAGCTATTCTTTGTGCTCGATTGCTGTTCGGTTGTCTGCGCGTTTCCCTATCCCATTTCTCTATCTTCTTTTTATGACCGCCGTGGGTGGTGTGCCTGTGCCGTACCCCGAAGAGGCTATTTGAGGGAAGATCAGCAAGATGCAGGAGTTTCATGCCTTCGAGGTGCTGCCCGGCAAGGACCACAAGCTGACGCTTCGGCCGACGTACGGCTTCCACCTCTCTGTTGTCTCCATTCCGCACGGGGGCAAAGGACGCAGCACGTTCTATGCGACGGTGAACGGAAAGTCATTCGCCATCGCGACACTTGACGCATCACAGAACATTCTGCAGGCCTCCGTCGACTTGGTCTTTACCGAGAAGCAGGGGGTTGTCTTCCGTGTGAAGGGAAATGCCCCGCTTCACTGCTGCGGGTACCAGCAGGAGCTCAGCGCCGACTTCAACGAAGTGGACATGGACGGCGAGGAGCTAGAAGAGGAAAGGAAAGACCCGACGCAGGCACCGCAGGATGACGAGGAGGATGAAATGAACGACTTGGAGGACGAAGAGATGGACGACTCTGATGAGGAGATGGATGATATTGATGATGAGGAGATGGGTGACGACGAGGAGCTCGATGAAGAAGAAGAGATAGACGACGGCGACGACGACGAGGAGCTCGATGATGATGATGATGAAGAGATGGATGGGGAAGGCAGCAATGAAGAGAGCAGCGGCGAGGAGAATGGCGATGACGAAGGCGACGAAGAAGACGAGGAGGTGGCTGAACCGCCGGCGAAGCGTGCAAACTTGGGCGGCAGCCCCATCCACCAGCAGCAGCAGCAGCAGAGTCCTCAGGGCCGTCCCAGCCAGCAGAAGCAGCAGCAGCAGAGTCCTCAGGGCCGCCCCAGCCAGCAGAAGCAGCAGCAGAGTCCTCAGGGCCGTCCCAGCCAGCAGAAGCAGCAGCAACAGAGTCCTCAGGGCCGCCCCAGCCAGCAGAAGCAGCAGCAGCAGAGTCCTCAGGGCCGCCCCAGCCAGCAGAAGCAGCAGCAACAGAGTCCTCAGGGCCGTCCCAGCCAGCAGAAGCGTGGTCGTGAGTAGGTGTAGTAGAGCGGCTCCTGTCACATCTTAGGAAACCGTGCAGCACGCACCTAATATTCTCGTTAAAATGCTAAATTAAATTATTATGATCTACGCTCCATCTTCTAAGAAGACTGTAACGACTGAACGCCTTCAAACGGTATACAGCAGGCGCGAAAAAGGAACGGGAAGAAGGAAGATAGAAAGAAAGAGGTGATAGTGTTCAATCCTTTCGCTCCTTGGGTTGTTTTTTATGAGAGCGCGTGAATGCCTGAGTGCCCCGTTGCAATCAATTTAAACAAAAAACCGATGGCGGTGATTGTGTGCGTGTAGTGAGCTCCAATGTGCAAGCTGTACCAAACTCTACTCTGTGGATGCCAACAACAGCGCATATTTTTCATTTTCCACTGCCTGCTTCCGTGTGTTCTATTTTGTATTGCTTTCGCAGGTAAGCAAGCGGCGCTGTAGGAGGTGGGGCGGTCATGACGGAGCTCGTCAACCCCAACCCGACGGTCTTCCGCGGCTCTCAGCACCAACAGCAGCAGCGGGGTGCGGCGGAGCTGCAGCAGGAGCAGGACGAAGACGCCCGCGACCCCATCGATGCGCTTGAGATCTACGATCACATTCACACAATACGCGACCCGGAACACCCGAACACGCTCGAGGAGCTGAAGGTTGTGGAGCCGCACCTTATCACTGTGGACGAGTCGCGGAGCACCGTGCGGGTGCAGTTCACGCCTACTGTGCCGCACTGTAGCATGACGACGCTAATCGGGCTGTGTATTAGTCTGAAGCTTCAGCGCTCGCTGCCGCGGTGCATGAAGGTGGACGTGTACGTCACGCCCGGCTCGCACGAGCAGGAGGAGCAGGTGAACAAGCAGCTGAATGACAAGGAGAGAGTGGCGGCGGCGCTGGAGAATAAGAACCTCCTCAACGTTGTGGAGTCTTGCTTGTATGAGTTCGAGTAATGAGGCATTCAGTTGGGCGACAACAGGAGGAGGTGGTGGTGGTGAAGAGGAACAAGAATGCAATGAGAAATGATGCGGCGCGGGGGCCATCTGCTGACTGCGCCCGAGTTCTCTTTCTCTTGCTGTGTGTTTGTGTGTGTGTGTGTTTTCGTGGCCGACTTTGGCCGCATAACTCGCTGCGCTCCCTGCCCACCAGGCGGCACGAAGCACTTGGGCTGTCCGGCTGCCATTGGCTCCCCTCTCCAGCTGCCCACAGTGTGCGCCCTCATCTTCTCCCACACTCTTTCTTTCTCTCTCTCTCTCTCTCTCTGATTCTTGCGTCTGTGCTGCGTGCTTCCTGCAGGAGAATAGGCGTGGAGGTTCTCACCTCTTTCCCCCCTTTGCTCTAGGAGAGAGTACAACATACAGCAACACGAGCAGCAGCTAGGCAGGTGTGGTGCAGGCGTAGTAGTTCGCTTTCCTGCAGTCACTTGTGCTCGAAGAAGAGAAAGTAACACACACACACACCGAAAGAAAAAAGGAAACAACAAAAAGAAAAGACAAGAGAGAAAAGAAAAAATTCAAGAAGGGATTCCAAAACACACCAAAACAAACCAAAGAAAAAAAAACCAAAATAAAATCAAACAGCATCAACCAGAAGGGAGAAAGAATATCCAACAGAGAGAGGAGAGGGAATCTGAATATTGGTTTTTCAATCAGCACACTTGTACAGGCATACACAATAGAAGCTCAAGTAGTAGGAGCAAGAGTAATTTCACACGAGGCAGGGAGACCAGGTCCACCGGGGTCAAACCGTCACGAGAAGGGAGTAGTAGAAGCGATCGCTCCATACCACTTTCATTCACACCCCTCGCCTCAACACCGCTGAGAGTGAATTGCTGTGCTCTCGCACACAATCGAGGGCAGCAGCATTACACACGCACACACAACAACAACAACAACAACAACAA